GAATCACATTTACATCAGTCAAAATTAATTTATATGACTGAATTAGATATTGAAACTCTTGGATATATTGGGGGATATCTGAGAAAAAGGAGTAGAAATGGCGGTTAATTTGGGAGAGGTCTGTCAAAAAGAAAGGAAAATGAAGTCTAACAAATGTCTGTGCCCCTGCCACATACTAGAGTGGGAACTGGAGAAAGGGACAAGGTTTTGAGGCCAATTGAAGTCCAGACTAGGTATGGGCATGGAGTGGGGTCAGATGTAGCAAGCAGAGCATATGAAACAGTTGTTTAATTATCAGGAAGCCATACAGGAGCGGAGGGAACAGCTCTTGCAGATGTGTGAAACTCTGGGGTTGGGGAAGAACTAGATATGGCAGCAGGAGGCCCTGAAGGAGGTTGAGAATGTGGAGCAGGAGGGTGCAGAATGGAGGGAGCCATTCCAGTGGCAGGAGATTCTGGACACTGCTAGGGAAGAGCAAGATCATTTGGGTCTGTTATCAGAGGGGTGTCTGAATAGATAGGAGAGAAAGAAGGATTTGAGAGGAGCCCATGAGGTGCACAAAGTCAGCATATTATGGAGGCTAAAGAGTGTCTTTATGTATGGACCTTCTGACTATTTTTTTTAGCTTCTTGCAGTAATTGTCTAGTTCCCACAGAATGGAGGGATCGAGGTCCCATTCTCTGGACAGGTAGTATTATGAAAAGGTAGTAGATGCTCAGGCTTCAGATTATATTGGAGGCAGAGATGTTTCATATTTTTTTAGGAGACAGGCTAAGAGAGAAGAGGGAATAGAAGGAGCATGATTCCCCTTTGGGAGCAGAGAAAGGTAACTGTCGTGCCTGGTATGGCAAAATAAGAGCAGCACCAGGGCCTGTACTGAGTATCTTCAGGTGTGCCCAAGGTCATAAGGGAACATGGGCAAATGATTGAGGCAGTCATCACCACAACTGATCAATCATTAAGGGGAGCCAGTTTCCCTAGGAAGCATCTACGATTAGCACTATGTTTAAAGGTACAGAGGAGGAGCGAGCCTTTCTCTGTCCCACGGGATGAGAGGAGAGAGTGGAACTAGGGAGCAGTGGACAGCAGAGAGTAAGGAGGTTTGGTGCAGAGAGGGTTAAACATTCAGAGCTAAAGCACAGCAGTGGCAGTGGCAGCAGTGGCAGGCAGTGGGGGTGTGGGAGGTCTTAAAGGCACAGAGAGTGCTACAAGCCCAGAAGAGGGAGAGAACTTAGCAGATTTGAAGTGGTCAGTATGGCAGGGTCTGGGGAGCTGCCTGGAGGGCAAAGTCCTGCACCAGTGCCACTGGGTGGCCTCAGTGGAAAGAGGCTGGAGATAGGGAGTAGTACCTTCTTCAGAAGGACTCCTTATCACATCATAGTCACAGCACCAATATGTTAAATTATGGCAAGTGAGGAAACAGGGGGAGACTGAGACTATGGGAAAGATTAGGTATTATTCTACCTTTTATTCCAGGCAGGAAGAAATGGGGTGATATCAGCAGCTATCTGGAGGGGAGGCTATACATATATAGGGCTTAGGGTTGGGGATCACAGTCTCGAAGAATCCAGATGAAATGTTGATGTTGCAGCTGTAAGGATAACCAGCGCATGTGTGTAGATAGAGCTGGTGTCAGGGAGACCTCAGATCCGATCCTAAATTTCTTTATGGCCTTTAATTCTTGTTCTCTTAGGGCAGCTTCTTGTGAGTATGAGCAGCATGGAGGTCTCTCTCATGTCAGGCCTGACACAAACATTAAAAAATGCAGGCATAATGGTGACCACAGTGTAGCCTTGAACTCTGCTTTCTTCAGACAGATAGGCCTTTATGTAAGCTGTGTTTACTACCTTCTCTTCTCTGCTTCCCTTCCTTTCTCTATTGTCTTCATGACATTATACAGAAGGAAGGGGGCACTTAGAGAACATAACGTTTAGTGACATAAATTAGGCTCACAAGTTTTTTTTTGTTTTGTTTTTTTGTTTTTTCTGGTTTTTCTCTGGTACCGGGAACCGAACTCACGACCTTGTGCTTGCCAGGCAAGCACTTTGCCTCTGAGCTAAATCCCCAGCCCCCAAAGCTCACAAGTTTAAATATTGCATGGCTTTCCTTATATGAGAAACCCAAAATATACATAATGAGCAAATAAAAGACAGGCGACAGGAAATAGGGAAGTAGGTCTTCTGCAAAAGGGAAGGGGACCAAGGGGTGGAGGGTGATGGGAAGAAGAGGAGAAGGGGACATAAAAAGAACTAAGATGTGTTGTGTATGTGTGCCAGCTCCCCACAAGGACTGTCATCGTTGTGTATTGCAAACATATACTAGTAAAAACTAAAAGCTGGGAAAAGGAAATAAATGTGAGACACGTACATATAGAGAAAGAAAGCATCAGGTTTATTAAGATTTCAAAAACCCAACTGGAGAACCTAAAACAGTGAAGTCATAGAGTGTGTAATCTTAATCTCTCTTAATCAATGGCAATACAATGCCTGCATAAATTATTAGCATATCTGTTTTCATCATGCTAATAAAGCCATTAATATTTCACAGAAATGCATATTTGGAGTTTATTTTTTAATATCTAATTCCATTTAAATTATATAGTCATTAAAAGTCAGTCCTTTAAAAAATTGAAAATTACAATTCAATTAAATTTAAACAAAACTGAAAGTAGCTATTAAAGATGGATAATTGAGCTGCTCTGAGCTAAAGAGTGATACCTTTGTTTACTTTGTAAAATAACCCATTTAATATTGTTTAAGATGTATGTTACTACCTACATCTTACTCATTTTACACATTTGAAAATGCACAATTTATTAAAAAAGCAGTTAATGTAGCAAAACAATAATGACCTATTTCTAATATTGCCTTGATACTTATTTGAAATTCATACAAATTCCCATACTTCTATACAATGCATCCTTCTTGTCTTAGTTACTTTCTTGTTGCTGGGACATAATATCCAATATCCACAATTCTAAGGAGGAAAGGTTTATTTCAGCTCACAGTTTGTAGAGGTTTCAGTCCATAGTCAGCTGGCTCCAAGGCAGGGCAGCTTGGAAGAGAGGCAGAGGAGAAACAGCTCATGACAGCACAGGCAGGAGGCAGGAAGCAACAAACCTGCCTTCTTTTTGTTCATTTACATTTCATTCAGGCTACAAGCCCATTGGTTGATGACACTTGCACCCAGGGTGGAGCTTCCACTATGCACACCCAGAACTATGTCAAACCAATGTTGTTATCACACACCCTTAATCCCAGTATCAAACACCCTAGATCCAGCCATCTCAGAGAAGCCCCACCTATCTGTACATAAGGCTTTGGAAGAACATCAAGACAGAGGATATAAGAGAGACTTTTTTGTTGTTTTTAAATATATCTGACTTTCAAATTGTTCCATATCTTTTGAATTTATGCCTCTACCTCGTTTGTTAAGGTGAACACTTTCCAGTGCCACCAACTAGAATTTTATAAATAGATGTTAATTCTATAGGGAAATTATATTAAGCAACTCTTATGCAAACCATTGATTGGGTTTTAGCTCTCTACCCATTAATTATATTAACAGATACAACTCTAAATGCAAACCGTCATTTCTTGGCAACTACAATCCTACCATATATATTCTTTGAATAATGATCAGTAATATCTACTATGAGTTGTGTTTATTGAAGTCCCATTTTGTGATGTTTCTACAATGTAAAAATGAATTTGGTGACATCCAGGCCTGATCATTTTACAGCCAAGAGCCATTCTTAGACCTTTCACCTCAGTATGGGCAATTTGATATTGTATGCTTCTCTTGGAGTTCATCTTCAAAGAAAAAAAAGCTAGAATATTTTATTTTAGTTTAATTTAGTTTAGTTTAGTGTTTGAGACAGGATCTGGCTATGTTGTTTCAGGTGCTGGCTTTGAACTTGCTCTGTAGCCCAGGCTATCCTTAAACTCTTGTGAATCCTCCTGCCTCATCCTCCCAGCTAGAATTACAGGAGTATGCTACAATGCCAGGTTTGTTTTGTTTTATTTATGAAAATATTAGAAGTAGTGAAATATAGTTCATGTACATTCCATTTTGATATACTGCTTAGAATATATAACACTGTCTTGGTTACTTTTTTCTCATTCCTGGGGCAAAATACCTGACACCCAAAATTAAGGCAGGCAAGGTTTATTTCGCTTACAGTTTATAGAGGTTTCAGTCCATACGTGGCTGGTTACAAGGCAGAGTGGCACATAGCAGAGGGCTATAGTTCACAGTGGTGGAAAACAGCAAAAGCAGCAAGAACTAAAAGGAGGAGTGGCAGCAAGCAGTCTCCTTCTCTCCCTTACATATGCAAACTACCTGCCGCAGGGCAGGAGTAGCTTTCACATCCATAATCAATCAAACTCTAAAAGCCCGCCCCATGACTGCATGAGACTTTGGGGGGACACCTAGACACAAACCATAACAAAAACAAAAGTGAAGCTATTGGTTAGCTTCATAAAAATGTTCTGTCATTTGTCTTTCAAGTGTTTTAATTTTACATATGTACACTCATTCATTTTAAAACATACCATCAAATTCTTAAAGAAACATCTGGACAATCAGAGGCCAGTTATTCCAGTCTGATTCTTTAGCTTCTCTTCTGTCTTTGGGAGTGTTCCCCAGTATGTAATAGTTCAGCAACTCCAAATGGCAAAAGCAGCCCTTCCTATCTTGTACCAGGAGAGGTAATTGCAGAAGTCTTCTTTGGAAAGTAAAATTTCAGCTGACTCTGTAACATACAGAGTTCTGTATGTTTCTGAGAACCATACAGAAGTTGGTGTAAAATCTTTCACATGACCTGAACATTGGTAGTAAGGAATAAAGAAACAGTTCTGTGAATTATATTTTAAAGTTTACTTACATAGGTGCACAGTTTTTAAAATACTTGGGCATTCTCCCCATTATAGAAATGACAGTGTCTTCACAGTTTTTAAAGTTAACATTTTTGGTCTATTTATTTTCACTTTCTTTTGCAGGAAATGTATGCAAGAAGAGTTCTGAGAGTTTGTACTACTCCAGTCTGCTGTGATTAAACAAGACACTGCAGTATTTTGTAAGTTCAACTATTTTTATCCTAGATAAAGAGGAATTTGTGTTTTAGAAAACCACATTTTTTTATTTGGAATTAAGCTTATTCAAATGGACGACTTAATTGATTTTATTTTGTCCCAAGCTTTGCTTTACCTCAGTTTTATTCAATTTAGATAAATAGTAAAAAGCATTTCTTTGTTAGAGTAACTCTGTTTTCCTTTATCCATTAGCCAATATTTTAATACCTTGTGATAAGGACCTTATCAGTTGGTGAGCTCCTTTAAAGAGACTGTACTGTTAGCAATACTGATTTGGCCTGGCTAAACATCTTGGTCTTTAATGTTCTCTGTTTTAATAAACATACATATTAAATTTCATCGGTAGCAACTGCCCTACGTGGCTTCATAAAGACAACTAAATACTATCTTCAGCAAACAGCAAATTCACCTTGGTGCTAATGAAATTATACTTTGCATTCAAAGGTTATGATATTCATCATAGATATGCACTTCATGTCTTTGAAGTATTAGAGTCTTGGTCCTCATTTATTTCATATGTTACAAAGCAAACAAACAGTGGAGATTGTATGGGGCTTAATGAACGACACTAAATTGAATGTTTGTTCAATCTTCCAATTTACAAACCTTTTGACTGTCTCAAAGTCGAGATTTTACTATTCATAATTTCTGAAACACAGTATAAAGGAAATAGATTTTCCTGTCTTTTACAAGCTGAATCTTACACTGAGATAAAATAGTCTCTCTGTCCCCAATTAATTTTCATGACAGATCTCATAGATTGAGAGAATGTAATGCATGTTATTTATTGTGACATTGGCAACAATTTTTTGGCTTTTTATTCATGCAGCCTATTTCCACTAAACAAGAGAAAAAATTACACTACATTGCCTCATAATAAGTGAATGGACAAATCAACTAGATGAAAAATGTATCTGCAGTTTTGATTTCAGTGCCAACATCATCACTCCAAGTACTCTTCATTAGGGTACTTTTGTGCCTTAGTACTTTTATTTATTTTTATTTTTATTTTTTTTGGTTTTTTTCTCCGGTACCAGGAACCGAACTCACGACCTTGCGCTTGCCAGGCAGGCGCTTTTGCCGCTGAGCTAAATCCCCAGCCCCTACCTTAGTACTTTTAAACAACTAATTTCTAATGTGGTTACTTTAAAAGTACACTTAAAAGTCAAACAGATTTTATAAACCTATCTAAGTAATGTGGAGGGCATAAGTCATTTCATAAATGATTTTGAAATTAGATAATAATATATGAAAAGAAAGAAAATTATGTAAATTTCTATATTTTAAATTTAAGTTGTATCCCAGTGATTGCATTTGTCAAACTTTCTATACTTAATTTATTATTTTTCTCCAAGAAAACTCTGAATTTTTATGGTAAGGTACTAAATTTAATAAAGATTTGATTATTTTTTATTAAACAATGATTTGTCTATATATGTATCTGTTGCTTAAATTCCACAACATTTTCAAAATATCAAGTGGAAATAATAGTACAATGATTTTATACAATTTTATATTAGTAAGAATGATTTATTAATGTTTACAATGTATGAAGTCCAATGCATAAAATATGAAGGAATCTGGTGTAGGATTTGACCTACAGTTATATAAATGGCAAAGAGATGTTTTCTGTCAGAATTTCACAAAAATCTTCTTTTGCCTCTTTACTATATTAACTTTATACAGTTCTAAGAAACCTATGCTGGGAACCACGGAAATGTCATCAGAGGTTAGATTAGTCAAATCCAGAAAAGATTTTTAAGAGCAAAGGAAAAATATTTTTGGCTTTGGTCATGTTTTCCTGCTGACTCTGAGAATTTGCCGGCTGGTTAGCTAAGGAAGAATTTGAAACGTATGAAAAAGATGTAAGAAAATATAACATTTGCATTAGGTTTTTCAATAATAGTGTCTTTAATTTAAAAAGTTTAAGGAAATAAATCCCTGGCCAGGGATTTAGCTCAGTGGCAAAACGCCGGCCTGACAAGCACAAGGTTGTGAGTTTGATTCCTGGTACCGGAAGAAAAAACAAAAAAGCAAAAAACAAATACATTTTAAAAAGGCCGGAATGTTAACTAAAATAAATCAGCCTAAATTATAAATAAAGAGCAAAATAAAGGATGGCTAATGGGAAGTAGAGATAGGTCTTTCGCATTTGGGAACGGGATAAAGACACCGAGGAAGGAAAATAGGAGGGAAGGGAAAGGAAATGAAACGAGGAATTGATACCTGTTCTGCACATGTACCAGCCCCACACAAGGCATGCAACATTATGTATGGCAAACATACTAGTGCTCTAATGTAGTAATGCAAAAATTTTAAAATGACATGAAGAAAAAGCATCGTGAGATAATATTCATTTATATCATGAAATTTTATAGGAAAGGTGACAGGTTATTTTGTAGTGATATGAAATATAATAAACACGAACTGTTATTAGTGTGGATCTCCAAACTGTAAGAATTTTAAAAAACAACACTGAGATTCCATCTCACCCCAGAAAGAATGCCTATCATTAAAAACTCAACCAACAAGAGATGCTGGTGAGGCTGTGGGGAAAAAGGAATCCTTCTCCACTGTTGGTGGGAGTGTAGACTGGTGCAGCCACTGTGGAAATCAGTGTGGAGATTCCTCAAAAACCTTGGACTAGAGGTCGCATTTGATCCAGCTATTCTTCTGGATATTTTTCAGAAGAATTAAAAGCATTATATCACAGCTTTATTTGCACACCCATGTCTATAGCAGCACAATTTTTAATAGCCAAATCATGGAAACAATACAAATGCCCATCAACAGAGGAATGAATAAAGAAGATGTGGATTTTTATACAATGGAGTAGTATTCTACCATAAAGAAGGATAACCTTGGGACATTTCTAGGTAAATGGATGCAACTTGAGACCATAACCTTAAGTGAAGTAAATTTGACTTACATGTGTACACATCTCATTGTCTCCCTGGTGTGAGAAACTGAAAGAGTAAATAACGACAAAATGTACAATAGATATTGTAAAATGGGGAGAAGTTGTTAAAAAGGAAGGAGGAACTAGGGTGGGAGAAGGGGAAAGACAAAAATGATAAAAAAGGATAAATAGGGAACAAAGCTTTGTAAAACAGAGAGGAAGAGGTGCTGAAGGGAGCAAGGGGGAATAGGAAAAAAGGAATAAAAATATATCCTGTACAGGTATAAATTTCTTATCATGAATATGACCATTATGTATATCTAAGATATACCAAGAACATAATTTTAAAGCAGAATTTTTAAAGCACTAGTATAACTAAAGGTAAAACTCTATAATTCCCTTATTTTGAAAAACCTGAGTCACAAAGCAGATCCTTCCTTGAAGGGAGGTGGTGTCGGGGGAAATAAGATATTCATCAATTGAACATAAATATTAAAACCTAAGACACATGATCTTGAATTAGTTACCACTTTAAATTCTGTTAGTAGGTGATTAGCATCATCACCTCAGTCAACATTGGTTTTGCTTTTCTGAAATCATACAAAGGAGGAAGTAACTCATTGGCAAACCATCCCACCCTCAGCTATGGTCCCAGGGGATTAACTGTCCAGTCCCTAAAAGGGAATTCGTAGAATTTTTTCTAAAGATTGAAGGGATCAAAGTAGAGCCTCTGCTTTTAGGATGAGAACTACTCTGAGAGCTAGATTGATTTCTGCCGGTTAGAATTCATCTAAATAAATGTTTAAATAAACACGTATAAACAAAATCACCCCGGTCTTCTTGCTGTTCATTATTGGTATGCCTGTAAGAGAAGATTATACCTCATAAGGCAATAGTTTTTAAAGTGTCTCTTTAAAGCTGACATTTTTTTTCTGGTGTTTTAGAGAATTAATGGATTTAGTGAAGAAACATATGTACTTTCTAATTTATTGTGATAATTATTTCAAGATTTTTTTCTAGAAACTTTGCAGAGATTAGCTCAACATGATATTTTTTGATTTTTTTACATTGGAGAAATTGAATGAAATGAGTGTTTAGGCTGAGAACTCTGGGGAATAAAAGAAAAATGCAAAATATGACTACTGGTTCTAAATTTCTACAGTCTCATTGTGGGGAAAATGATTTATATATAAATTATATCTAAAATTACAGTCAGAAAAAATATAAAATATATTGTAACTCCCCGCCTGGTGTACACAAAATTTTAAGATTATCCTTTGTATAATGAATGAAGCACTGCAGGTATTCACAGAGCTACTGTAATTAAATTTGGGAAATGAAATATAGGTAGAGCTGAGATGGATTCTGAAGGGCCGTTATCATAGCTAGGATAACGTAAAGAAGAACAAGCTTGATTTAGGAACTTACTTATTATGTGATGATACATGCTGGGTTTGGAGGTATTGAGGAGAATTCTATGAAATGAAGAAGAGGATAATTTAAATAGGTAAGTCTGATCTCAAACAAAACGGGTCTTAATTTTGAAGGTGGGATGCCTGTGCTTTCTTTAGAGGAGAGAACAGTCACAAAAGACACTTCAGTGACATGCTATCTTATCAGTTGCTGAATAATCAATATAGGGGGAAATGAAAAATTAACAAAGACCCCGCCAAATTTCAGAGTCTAAAAATTCGGAAAAATGTCTGATAAACAGAAATGAAAAGAAGATAGAGGTGGAAGCAGTTGCATGTAGAAATGATGAATAGGGTGAGATCTTCCAATTTTAGGAATGTCATGAACTTACATGTTTTCTAAGAGTTTCCTTATTATTACCTCAAAGTCATTTTCTTGTTTTTTATGTTATTGACATTTTGATGATGAAATAAATGGTTAATTTGTATTCATTTTTTATTCTACATTGTGGCTGTACTTCTAATTTATCTGAAATTGAACTTTTAAGTAGAGTCCTAAAACTTAGGAGTTTTGGAGATGTTGACAGCGATGTTAACTCAGTTTAGAATAGTCCTTACTGTATAAAGTTTAGCGCTGGCATTTAGGAGCAAGTTTTGCTTTAATAAAGAAATC